AAAACCCGGTCAAATCGCAAAAAGAAGGTCATATTCGTACTCGCCACGCTCTGACGAATCCGAATATGTATAATTTATTGAAAAATAAATTTTGTGGCATTTTTGAATTAGCTGTACCTTACCATGAGAATTAGAACTAATACCACCGATTACTTCTTCCTGAGCAAAACACCCAATATTACAAAGAGATCCATGATTCCTATATATCAGTAAATAATGGATATGAAGATGTTAAACAAAATTTTGCAAATTAACATAGTAGTTATCATGAGCTCTGCAATAATGCAAAAATAACTCGTTCGCTAATGTACACACATCATTATCATGTGGTGATTCAGAATGAAACAGACGGGTCGAACAAATGAATAAAGCTAAGTGTGATAATTGTTCAAGTGGTACGTGATCTTGTAATACAGGTAATAATATATATAATAACAAATTCTTAATTTCTGTAGCTTTAACATGTGAAAAATCATTAATTAGTCGGGTTTTTGGCCGAAAAAATGAGGAAATCGTTGTTGTTTTAATTTCCTATCGATCAATCTTCGTTGATCAGGTTTTACCTGATGATAAATGGCCTTAATAATTGTTTTTGCATGACCTAATTATGTGCAATGCAAGTAGTCGATGATGATACATTCAGGTAATGGTGTGTCTAATATTTTGTGTAAAACACCAACCCCACGATGACCAAAAATATCACGATTTTCTTGGACAGCTTGAATTGATTCTTGTAAATATTTTTCTGAATGACGGTGTTTGATTGGTAATTCACAGTGATATTGACGCTTATTGTCAACATGAATACCCTTTAAATAACATATCCAACAACACCAATAGCCGCCATGACCAACAAAGTCCAAAATTAATTTAATTGCCGGACAGTCACCCGTAACACCAAAAAATTTTAATTTGTAATTTAGATCAGGTGAAACACAAATATCTGAAGAAAAATAACTAGATAGCTTATACGTAAACCGAGTACGGGTGGACTCAAAAGAAAATCAACACTAGCAACTGAAAGAAAGTTAAAAAAACGATGAATTTATTTCATGTATGTAGTTTTGCTAGTTTCTTCCAGTCTTATTGTGCTTTCGATAAACAGTTCAACTAAATTACTTTCAGAAGTACAATTTACTTTTATTTATCATTTATCTTTACTTTGTGATTTTATATAATTCAATTTATCAATAATTTTGCCAAACCACAAGTTGGCTAACGGTTCAGTGTACCCAACCCAAATGGATATGAGGGCCATATTAAAACGACGATAACGTAGTTTGAGAGGAAGTTCGACGATACACCCACTAAACAATCATAAGTTTAGTTTTGTTGATTTTGTCAGACCAACTCCATCCAAATGTAACACCAAACTGATTAAATTTCCATCAGGACTATAACAGTTCAAAATGATATTAGTAGAAATAAATGAACAACAGATGGAAAAAGCATAAAAAATATATGTATTTAACTCACTATTTATTCATTAATTGACAATATAATCTACCAAATGGTATATCATTTATCTTTTCAAAATTATCATTATTTTACAGTTTTTTCTTTATATTCTTTAATGTATGTTAATAAACGTTGAAATAATAACGATAGAACTTTGCACACATCCACATCAAAAATAGTTGCAATTGTTGTTTGATCTGTTGACCGACATTGTTTGCATATGTTTTCATTACATGATAATTCCAATTTACACAGGATGCACGCTTTTCTTCTTGTGAATAAATCTTCAATATTCATCATTGTGAATAATTCTTCCAACGACGATGGCATATAATTTGGTTGAGGCAATACGGATTTAATCAGTGAAATTAATCAATTTGACTGTGATTTACAAATGTTGGCGTCACGTAAAAGTCGTGTTAAATTTCGACAATATTGATCTGTTGAAATATTTGTAAAATAATGCAGGCGTGTTTCTAATGGAATAGGTGGTGCATTTTTTGTGTTAGTAATATCAAAGTCTCATGGAACACATTTGCATCCAAATCACTCTCAGTATCTTGTAAATAATAGTGCAAGATATTATCATCTTCTATTGAATCATTTTCGACATCAACCACGTCATTACGAATAATCTTGTGATTCGATTTAAGATATTCTTCATCTGTATTTGAAGTTGTTACTGATGCTTGTTGCTGCCCTTGCTCTTTCGCCTCAAGTCTTGAATCTTGAACTGGTGGTGATTGATATTGATCAATTAATTTAAATTCATCTTGCTGACGTTTAGCTCGTCGTACTTCCTTTCTAAGACCTAAACCTTTCCGATATTGTTCTTTGGTATTTGTCAAAGCAATTCGAATTTGTTCGTCCATTTTCGATCTTACAAATAACAAAATGGAAAAGAGTGATAAACACGCATGAAAAAAGAAAAGCAAATTGGTAGATCGAGATTTCGAAGAACAATTATAAGAGACCTTAAATCTCAACTCTAAAATCTCAGACCTTCGAGTCTCAAACAAATTAAATTGAAGCTTTATGATGACAATTAATATTGTGTTACATCAGAAGTCCCATTTAATCAGTTTCTATTGAAAATCATAGGAAAAACCATTCTTATGAAAAAAAACAGTTCTGGCAGACGTGAGGTAAATTTCGTATAAACTAAACTTCTTTGAATAAAAATAAACTGTTCTAAATAAAAGCAGAAAAGTACAGAGCAGAGCTGCCACATGGTCCGCATTTTGCGAACAAATTCCGCTTTCTGCAGTTTTTCCGCAAAGTGCCCGCTTTTAGCGGAGTCTTTGTTGTTGTCCTTTTCCTTTAGATCTGGGGTTGGTTTTATTTTAAACTAGACATCTAACTGCGTGAGGTGCTGGGATCCGATTTTTAATTTAGGTCTTCGTTAGTTTTCTAGAGATCGAAGATTCTCAAACACTCGAAAAATGTTTACGGGTTTTCCAGAGATGCTTGATTTTCTAGAAAAGGAAAGCCTAATTCAAAAATCGGGTCCCAGCACCTTACGCAGTTAGGTGTCTAGTTTAAAATAAAACCAACCCGACATCTCTAGCTTGAGGTATATTTAAAAAAAGGGTTTCACACTAGAGGATGGTTTTTGACCTTGGATTCTGGAAAATCCCGGAACGGTAAGAGAGGGAACTAAAAAAAATTTCATAACCACACTTTGATATGGCAAATATTTACTGAAAGTTTGATCAAAATCGGATGTAAGACAAAACAGATTTTTTCTGAGGGGGGATCCTTAATTGTATAGCTGGAGGACGTGTGTATCAAACGGCAAAAAAGCTTGTCCCCTTCGAAATTTTTGAGGTTCAGTCACAGTCTCTAACGAGATGTTGCGAAAAATTCTTCCAAAAGAGTCTCTCGATAGTATAAAAGCTGTCAAAACAATTAGAATGAAACGGAAAAAGGCAGCCGTGAAGATGAAACTAGGCGGAGATTTCATGAATGCCGTCTACGTCTTTGGACTCGCCGGTGTACATTCTAATTTTTCATGCGTGTTTTGCACTCAGCATAAAGATTTTATGCACGTAACAGAAGTGGGTACACCCTGTGAGAAAGAGTATTATGTCGGAACAGGGAAAAATAAGAAAAAGCAAAAGCGAATAGTTTTGATTGATCCCACTTCTTGTTTCGATCCTACAAAAGAGGAACAAAAACTTCACTAGAGGAACAAAAAGTTTGTCTCCAAAAAAAGCAGCAAAATAAGCAAAACAACGAAGTAGGATGCCAAGCAGAGCCTCTGTTTGGTGATTTATTTGAATATGGTGATTATATATTAGACACCTTACACATGAAACTCCGCATTTTTGATATTCTGTTAAAGGATATCTTAAAAATAGCGTCGAAGACAGGCGAATATAAGCCTAATCATTCAAAAATTTTGAATGAAAGGCTCGCTGTTCTTAATGCTCATGCCCAAGAAACAATAGGAAAACGTTTCTTTTTTAAGTGTGAGTTGGAGAATAATGTTACGTCTATTGTTTCTTGTGACAGGTTTTCTAGACATTTACAGGAGATCTTTTTCGTTGAACAGTTTCCGTACGAAAAAATAATGGGACTTTGTAGTTCAGCAACCACTGCAAAACTTCTTCTCGACAAGTTTAAGACCCTTCTCAAAGAAGTAAAAACAGAAAAATCCAAACGAAACAGCGTTCTGAAAAATCTTGCAAGTTTCTTCGTATCCGACTTCAGAAAATCAGGTCTCAGAACATCATGCATACCATACATGCATATCATCGGAAACTATTTGCATCAGTTAGACGAGCAAGAAGATCTGCGTGCATTTGATATGCAAGGTGTGGAAAAGAGTAACGATCTACTGTCTAGGCTTTACTTTTCGTCGAGTAATAAGGCCAATAAACCTTTGGCTACGATGATGCAAAATCTGTATCGTCGTCTGGAGATGAATTTCCAAGATCTCGAAGAGCGAGCCGCAATGGTACACTATGCCTTAACTGGCATTTTTGAAAGCCAAGAAGAGGAAATACACTGCGAATCTGACCTTGAAAACTCACACTCCGATTCATCCGCTGAACGACAGTGTTCGACGCTATCGACATACCGGAGAAAAACCAATGAGGAAAATGATGACGATGAAAACGATACTCACGAAAACCTAACTCCGTCATATGCTTCCTCTTACCCTTTTGTACCTGTACGTACAAAAACACAGTAGAGCAGCTTCAAAACGTTGAGATAAATACGTTCGCTCGTCAGAAACTCCATAAGCAAACAACAAAGTATCTTTCCTTTTCGCTGAGTGCATCTTCATCATACTTTTCACTAATACTTTTGTTTACTTTTATTTTTCTAACGTAATTCGGTCATATTCATTAGAAAATTTGGTGCTTGCTCCGCGCTGAACCAAATTGGATAAAAATTGAGCACCATGTACAAAATTTGTCGGTGAATCCGACAGCGGGTTCCTTATAATTACATCTTCACTTCTTTTTTGGCGTCGACATAATCAACGTGGTTTTTATCTAAATTATATTTTTCTCATTGGTGGAAAAAAAGGTGCCAACAAAAAGGCGATTTGGTCTAAAGCCGCTTTGGCAGGGTGACAAGAATGATTCGATTGCTGGTCGCATGCGAATTAGAGTGATGATGGAGAGAAGTTTGCGCAACGTGTTGAGAAGAACAATTGGCCTCAGGCTGCTCATAAGACCAGCAGATCTGCCTGATTTCTGTAGAACTATCAGCGTGCCTGTGCCGATGTCGAGTTCTTCGTTTTTTTCGAGTTTTTTATTGAAGATGAGTGCGATTTTACGGTAAAGTTCTTTCGAGCCGTATTTGAGGAGCTCGCCAGCTACACCGTCCGGGCCGACTGCGCGGTTGTTACGCAGTTTTTTAGCTGCAGCTTCTACCTCCGATGATGTTATTGGTTGGTTGACCGACCCGTTCGGTTGTTCGGTGCGAGAGTGCGCCAACGATGAATTGTTCTCGAAAAACAGCCCAGAGAAGTGCTTGGTCACTATCTCTGCTGCCTCCTCTGGTTGCGCGATGATCTCGTCTTTATTTTTGATAATAATTACGGCTGGTATGCTCCTTGTAAGTACTCTCACTGCTTGGAGCATCTGCGCGTTATCTTTCAAGGATTCGATTTCTGCAGTTTTTTGCTCGATCTCTTCCTCGTTGAGTTGTTTCAAGCGTTTGTGCTTAAGTGCTCAAGTTGTTTTAGCACTTTGTTTCTCGCACGCTTGAGTTGTTCGCGCCGCTGTGTGCTCGCGTTGCAAATCGAAATTTGCAGCGTTTTTTGTTCGAGTGGAGTTGTTCCACTATTGGGCAGTATCGTTTTTGTTTCTTGTTCACAATTGTGCCGTCTTTTGCTGTAGCCGCTTTCACGGTCGCGTCTCTTATTGCGCACCAGTTATCGGACGCGGAGTTGCTGCTGTTGATTGTGCTGTACGTGAGGACTGTGTCCAATTGATTTTGATATTCGAGCTGGTTGGCTGCGCTAGCTGCTAGTTTCGCTACGTTTATTTTATCTGTTTTGTTGTTATAGTTTCGGTTCCGCAAGAAGTTTGATAAACGTGGTGGTGATGACAATTCGATGATCAGAATCAACGGCTGTGCCAGAGTAGCTGCGCGCGTTTATGACGAGGTTGATTTGATGTTTAGGTGCAAAGATGTAGTCGATCTGGTTGTAAATTTTGACGACTTTATTCGATTGAGCGTCGCGTCTGTGACCGACCAATGTTGTTCTGTGGGACGCTTTATGAGCAAATTTTGTGTTAGTCGCTAGTAGGCCGCGCGACTTTGCGAATTCGGCGAGCGCTTGTCCGTTGTCCTTGCGGGTACCGCGGCCGAATTTTCCCACGCATTGTGTGTCTTGAACGTTCACCCCAATTTTCGTGTTAAAGTCTCCCGCGATGAAGAGGGTTATCTGCTTGCCGATGCGTTGCAGCAGTTGTTCGAGTTGATCGTAAAATGTTTCTCTCTCTTTCGCGTTGGCGGCGGCTCTCTGTTGTGTTGGTGCATAGATATTGATCACCTTGAAGAGCGTTCTCGCAGTTTGTCGAAAGGTGGCTACTGCGATTCTATCGCTGATTGATTCGTACGCGATGAGTCTCGCAGCCCAGAACTTGCTGATGACGAAGGCCAGCCCGTAGTGCCGATAGTTGCTGGGCAGCGTGATGAATCTGTAGCCGTTGATAAGCTGGTCGTTTTGTGAGCTTATTTTTGTTTCTTGCAAGCAGCATACGTCGACTTTGTATTTGTGCATGTCTTGCATAAGTAGCTCTCGTTTATGTTGTTGTGTAAGGTTACACAACACAACTACGGCTGTGCCGACTGCGCCATGAGACCTGTCAGCATCTCATCCAAAGAATGTAATGTGTATCGACAACATTTAGGTATATGCCCCTTCAACGACATTTAATTGTTTTTGTTTTTAAAAAAATTTAAACGTTAATAAAGAGCTGTGCTAGTTCATTGTTTTTATAAACGAAAAAGTTAAAACGAAACGTAGAAGAAACGTATAAGCACTGCTCATCATATTCAGCATTTTGTACCTTTCCAGATAAGCATATACTTTCTTCTTCTCTCTTCCTACTTCTATTATGAAACGCAGAAGTAACCGTCGAAAACCGAATTTTTGGAGTGATAATGGTAATGGCTCCATAATGGTAAAGTCTGTGAGGATTCACTTCTTCCAGCTGAACTTGTACTAGGTCCGATCCCGAAACGGAAAAAAAACTTCAGGTCGCTCATTCCTCATTTGCAACGTTTCCTTTACAAGAGAGCTTCAGACAATGGAAAAGAGACAGGAAACAACTCCATTGATCAGCAAATATCTTGTGTCATTGTTGAAAACACAAGGGATGACAAAAATATGGGCCCCAGCATCATT